ATACAATAGGATATAATGAAGAAAATCTTTTTTTTCGTCATTCTATTTCTTGTCTTTTATTAACATAGTTATTATAATTTTTCATGCTAGTCCAGTTGTCCTAAGCATAGTAAGGCATAATTTTGCCAAATGTCGATTGAATTTGACATTTTCAATACATGAATAAATTATAAATTAAATATATAGATGTGAAGACCAAGATGTTGTGGTCTCGGGTATGGTCGGGTATGGGATAAGAGGGTAAAGAGTAGATAGATAGACAATGACAGAAAGAGGAGTGATAGTGTAACCGTTTCCGGGAACGGTTGTCGAGAGATTGACTTCACTTGTCTCTTTGACGAGTTCTTATCTTGGTGCTGAGAATGGCAAGGCTCACTGATGATGCCGACTACGAGGCCGGCAAAACGTTTGAGAATGTATCAAGTCCACGGTCGGATGCTGGGAATCAAGACAACTACTATGACAGACGACTTCGGACTCGGTGCGTTCTACATAGTCTCCCTGAACATCAGACCAAGTTGCGACAACGAGGTCAACCCACTTCTAAATATATAGATCTTTGACACATCCAAGAGTGTCCGTGGGTCACAGGGCATATCTGACTTTCAAGTTAGATCTACCATATTACTGATTTACGAAACTCTACTTACATAGGAAAAATAAATATATAGTTTTAAAAGATGGAAATAATATGAATAAGAGCTTATACACCTTATATCACTAAAGGTGACATTAAGGACTGATAATGAAAATGTACCACGATGATATGAGTAAGCTGCAGGAAACCACTATCGTTGGCTTGGCTTTGCTGTCATAAAAGTTGTCTAGCCTAGGTTGGACCGCCTTTTCAAACTCGCCTCATCATCTCATCAGGACTCCCAAACAGACTCGAATCTTGGTCGTGAGGATCGAGACGGCATGTTGATACTCTGTAACACATTCAAAAGTGCCAGTAGGTCACAGGGCACATTTGACTTTCAGGTCAGATCTCTCCTAAATGACACTTATGGTAGGATTGTCAAATAGATCGAAGTAAAATATTGCCGAAAACATTAAAAAACCTGAATCGAATAGCAGGACCGAAAAGTATGTGGATAAAATGAGTGTGCATTCACTCAGCAATGAAAGCATTGCAGGAAGGAAATTTAACTCGTGTTTTTCTTTGAATGTGAGCTAATGTGTAGCCAAAATAGGCAACCATTGTTAACAGCCTTAAATTTCTGACTGTTCTTTAATTGTCAAAGATCAATTCAAGAAAGATTCAATAATAAATCAACAGCTAACGCGTTTATCATCATTCGTGAGTGAACCAAAATAATTTAAGTAGGATAGGAGTTAACTAATATGAACTTGCAGCACCTTATGTAAGGTTAAATCTAAAGGGAAAACATGCGAAAGAAAGCAAGGAGAACCGAAAAGGGCAGGTTGCCAGATAGGAAAATGAATATTACATATAAATATATATGTAGTTGCAATTATTTTGAAAGAAGTCTGCGAAAGTTATCGCCTGAGTAAAGTTGACTAATGAGGCATTTTATAAAAAATAGCAGAAAATCTTAGTCGGGGATGATAATGTAGAAATAAATTCGGGTATGAGGTGCATAAAAGATATAGATATAATGTGGATAACAAGTGAACATTGTTAACACGCCTCATGTACATGTCGACATACAACGATACGCCAACAGAGGCATAGATAGCTAGGTAGATGAAGGTCGAATCATGTTGAGATGGAGATGCGTACAAAGTTAGAATACCAGATTAGCAGTGGTGAAATGGCACATACAAACAATTAAGTAAACAAGTGTGCGTGCGTGTATATTTTTGA